GAATGACTGCAGTCATTTTGCTCGCTCTCGTCACTTGATCAGATCGCACGCATATGCCCTGGAAGTTTCGAGGCTGAGAAGAAGGAGCTGCGATCGTCGGAGCAAGAATTTTGTTCGTTTATTGTTTCAGACCCTGCGACTGTCTCTGGAGAATTTGAAACGTCAGGCTAATCAAATTCCTGTTCCAGTGGTCGCATCTCCTTCTTCTCAATTACTTCCGGAAATTCGTCTTTTCTCCACTGTTGTTGGCAGATTAGTGCATCGGCGGTTAAGTTCAAAAATTTTCGAAGGCTAATAGCAGTCGTCTTCATTGGTCTAAACTGAATCCACTATGGAATACGGAAGCTCTAACCTAGACTTTGGAATGAGGAGGTACGCATGTTGCATGATGCGCGAGGACAGATTGTTTGATGCTGTTTTCCCCAAACCACAACCGACAAAAGGGTGCTCAAAACGCTGGACAGTGTCCCTCTCGAAAACTACCGGCCGCTAGTTGATTTTTTCATCCGGCTGCATGGCATGATGAACGCAAAAATCGGTAATCACTTGCAAAGATGTCTGTATCTGTTTAGTTTATTTAAACTCCAGCTTTTACACAGAATAGTAAATTTCTCGTGATGAAACTATAAACAAAATGAATAAAACTAAAACCGCCGAGAGGTCCCTTCTTCAAGGATCTCCACACGGACGTGGTTAGGCAAATGTACTATGAAGGTGGTCTGTGCATGGAACAGAGGTCATGGAAGGGTTAGCCTTATTTCCAACTTTGACTCTACGTAAATTCATAGAGGGAGTAACTGTGGCCGTTAACGCAAGTAGTTTAAAAGTCCGCAAGGAGGTTCAGCTGACGAGCGTGAAAGTGAAGGCTCCACAACCGGTGTCGATCTTGAGGCATCCAGGTCAGCCTTGTGACAGTGCTCAAAGTGAACTTGTACAACTCGGCGCAGGGCTGGTGAGAAGAGATGCATGTGTGTTTGATGCCACTGGAAGCATTCCCTACAACAGGCGCGAATACCCGTGATCAGAGTGGTGAATTCACCGGCCTGCTGGGGTCCCTGTGAGGCTTTTGCAGACGGTGGGGTCGGAGGAAAATTCTGCAGACGACTGAGGCATCGTAAGTACGTCCTGCGATTCATATCGTCGATACTCATCAAGAGGACGTCCAGTTTGTTCAGGACACTCACAGACACATTCATATTGGGGAGGGAATAGTCGTAAGCTCATACCCTTATTCGAGTGCAGTTTACACTGTCTTCAACTAGCTGTACAACGATAGTGAATCAAACGACGGCATATCCTCAGAACGGGGATGACGCGTAGTTTCTCTATAGTGTCCAAAGTTGTCTATAAAATAACATATTTTGACAGTAATATCAGAATACTTCAAAGATCTGAATCGAAGCATGATTTTCTTATGCCCATCAAACTGTTTATTTTAAGGAATTTTTCATTAAACCTTCAAATAAGGGTTCGCCTAAGATACATTTTGCCTGCTAGTCCACTACCGCCCACCAAAATAGCATGGCGGTTAGGTGCCTGGTAGAAAAATAAAAATCCCTGCAAAAATCGGACTATTCCCTGAACTCTATAAAAGGCATTAATGGCAATTTCTTCTGCTTCATGATAGTTTCCCGACAGGCCTAGCCAATTTTACGTAGAACGCAAACTCACCAAATACCTGTAGACGGAGAATGAGTTGAATAACGGAAAGATAACCTTATAGTGTCTGAGATGGCCTATAAAAAGTTGTTTTGACAAGTTCTAAAAATAACTCAAGGGACTTCGTCAAACCATGACTTTCTCTGGGTCCATCAAACAGCATATTTTAAAGAAAATCACTTCAAACCTTAAAAGAGAAAAGGCCTATATGAAATATATATACACTGCAATTTAACTATCGTCAGTCGAGATGGCATGCTGATTAGACATTTAATACGAGTAATACTGATTCAAAAGTCACTTGGCAAACATAAGTTTTCAGTAACTCAACATCAGGCCAATGCGTTTACATGAGTAATGATCTTTTTAATTGTAGACAGGATAAAAATGCGTCTCAGGGATAGGGTTAGTTAGACTCCATGTTTCCACGCCGCCCGCTACTCAGGTTATTTTGCGTGTGCACGCATGAACTGAAATTTCATCACTCTACCTATGGTGTTAGATAGTCTGCCAAAAGAAATTAATAGTAGTTCATTCATTTGCATGACATTTTACTGGCACGGCACTACAGACTTCGCATAGAACATAAACCTTCATATAGCTTCGGTGATGATAACGACGATGATGATGATGATGATGATGATGGCGGCGATGAGGAGGAAGAAGAGGGGGTATGAGCGGAATAATGTCAAACGGATATAAAATACGACAAGCATCTTGGAAGAGGTAACGCACCATATCAACTATATATGGTTGAAAAGAAGGCAGTGAGCACTTTCAGCTTGTAAACTATGGATATGTGGTTTGATGCACTGCAAACCTTAATATCAGCTGGAATAAATCAACATATCTTCAAAGGATACGAGTTTGGAGCCACTTAGTAAATGCACCTTAAATTGAGCTGGACTGGAAGCGTCTGACTTAAAATCTTCTTATAACCTGGGAAAACTTCTTCGGCCATAGAAAATCATACACGTGTGCCAAAATTTTAGGGAAAGCGATGTGAAAAGCATGCACCTTATGTATTTAGATGCTTTAAATTCCGATCTAAATTCAGACAGTCATAAATATACAAACCGTCTGTGTGGGTTGCAGACTTTGAGAGCCTCCAAATGACCGGGGGACTGATCGATCGTGTTTGTGTTTTAAACTAGGCAACACGCCGACTTCACTTAAGCGCTTGCAACAGCCGTAAATGATCCTCGACCTTTTGTTGACCGGACTAGACAAATGAAACGGGTGTAAATATACAGAGCCAACTGGAAACTTCAAGGACTTTAATGAACCTGTAGGATCCCACTGTATATGAAACAGAAGTCAGGGCAGGGCTGGACCTATCTCCAAGCAGACTGAACAAGTAAAAGAACGAGAAAATAGTGTGTTAACGTTTGATGCAGCAATACTATGCGTGTAGACGTTTGCCAAATCAGTGCTAGCTTACTCTGGCAAGTGTAATCCTATCTTTTGTCAACGCACTGTCGTGCGACAACTGACGAGAGACGGTGTGGATTATTTGATACATGCGGAAACTGATATTTCTATGGATATTTTGTGAAAAGAACTCATCTAGTTAACAATGTTCCACTTCCACGTTTTTTTATAAAAGTTATATAGCCGCTGGAATAAGTAAATCCGAAGGAAATACCCTTTGAAAAACGACGCCTTTATCCTACTGTTTTATTTTAAGAACAATGCGAAGACTTAACTAGTATTCGGAAGCAGTTTGTAGAGTTTACCTTATAGGGAGAAAAATGTTGACTTCTGGGTTTATCGGGATAGCGAAAATATAAACCCGAATGAAATGGATGGAACGCCACTTGACATAAAAACGGCGAATAAATACAGTCCTTTAGTGGAATTTCAGTTAAAGCCCCTTTTTTCTTAAAACAAATGAAGACGTTGCCAAATGTTATCGCAAAACGGAAACTGAAAGGGTTATTTTCTCCCACACTGCGAGTGCACAGATGACTTTTATCTGTCTTCCACGCAGGCTAAAAATGTCCACGAATAACGTTTTTCATTTGGGTTTACGCATTCCTCCTCTACTGGGGTTTTTAAAAATTCAAGTAACGCCAGGTGTCTCGGTAAGGGCTTTTGTCTTTTAATTTAAATTCCTAGCAAAACCACATAATTCCAACAAAATATTTGTAACAAAGACTTATCTGTCCAGCCAAGGCGAAAAAATGAGAGTCCCTGATAGGTAGTGAATACTTTTTAAATGATATGATTTTTATTTTGATACCAACTGACGGATGTCGTCTAAGAAAATCGGCGAAACGGGGGGGGGTCGCACCCGTTCACTCTGGTGAGCACTGTAACACTATCCACCATGCTGGCAACAAAAGTGCTAGCTAAAAGCCCAGACACGTATTTCGTCGATATTTAGCTGCGAGGGGTTCGACTCATCAGTGGGTCCCCCGGCATTCCCTGTGTGCTTTCTGGTATATACTCCAGTTTAGAAATTGTTGCTTTTTAATTTTTTCAGAAACTACCCCCTAACTGCTCCTACAGGCCTTAGTTTAAACCGGTTTCCTAGTAGCAAGAGTATATCGCCTCGATAGCCGGTAGATAGCGTTTTTTTGATATACGTATATCGAGTGGATAGCGTTGTATATCGAGTAGATATCGAATGCTCGATATACTCGAAAAACGACGGTAGCAGCACGGATGGCAGTTTACACGACCCTTTTCCCACGGAAATACCTCCGTTTTGTTTCTGTCTGCTCTTCCCCTCCTCCTAAACCATTCACGGTAGTCTTAGTCTGGATGACAAACGTATAAAGTAGCGCAAAGTACCCACAACACTTCAAAACCGTATGAATTGGTAGGTATATATTAGGAAAGCAAAAAAATTAATATGTGCATTAATATTTGTAGTCTCATTGGTCCATATTGGGGCTATCCACTGTTGAATTGGTCGAGCTCCCTGTTGAAGATACCGATGTTGGATCTACATTAAAGAGTAGTGTTTAGTTGGTAATGGAGGAACACTTACCACCGGCTTGGGCGTCGTTACTACTCTTTTGCAAATTTGCTCCAAGTTAGCGGTTAATTTCTCATAAAATCAAATACTTCGCAATCATATAAACTATTGTCTTCTGTCACTGGACATCACACGCACCTCCCGTACAGTGGATGCGTACATTCTCAATCCCTGGCCTGGAATATTTTGCTAAATCCACCCCCCCCCCTGCCCAATCCTCTTGCAGTCACAGGTAGATCGGTCGTACGCCTGGCATCTCCCTCGTCCGTTTGGACAGTGCGGCCTAACAACCACCACATCCCAGGGCTGCGCCCAACCTTCACTGTCAGAAACATCCTATCCAGCTCCCAACGACTCCATGACGGATCATAGGGTCCCGAATCCTTCTGTCAGCCAGGTGTTCCCCTTCTCCCAAACCCTGTCCACTCCTGGCACCATGACGGGCCAAATAGAGGCCAGACTGTCTTCTGGGGGAGTTGAGGACCAGGCAGGATGCAGTAGTCTTCCGCATCTGTTCGAGAGACCAGTGGACGATGGGGAGACCGGTTTCCATGACAGACACAACTGTCCCCCTCCAGGGGACATCCTAGAGACAATGAAGTTGAGACGACCAACTCACCCTACCTGTTCCGCCTGTCTCTGCCTCGACCTCTACCCACCCTCCGCCAGCTTCAGTTGGTCCTATGAGCAACAACACCCCTGTGGAGGTGGCACCCTACGTGGAATTCCTATCGGGTAAGATCAGCCACATTGGCAGCTCTTGGATTTTTTCACTCAGCCTTGCTTCAACTGGTGTACCTAAAACAGTAAAGATGTATGACTCATTTGCTGATAGAAGCGAACAGGCGAGTCCCAGGTAGCAGTTCAGAAGATGAAGATGCGATCACTGGAACAAGAAATTTTTTTTAAAAATAAATTTCTTGTTCCAGTGATCGCATCTTCATCTTATGACTCATTTGTCAAATCATACTGGGCAATGGGTAAATGTAGCAAAAGAAGGTTTTTGCATTGAGTTTTCTAGCTTGTCACACAAATGTGTTATGGGACGCTATATGGTTACTGTGATTAGCTAACCATTCAATACAGATGAAGACGACAAACCGCTGCACAGCCAAGACCATTTTCTCTTCGAATTCTACCCTTTACAAAAATTTCACATGACCGAAATCAAGTATTACGTGAATCAGTCCAAATTACGACGGTCACGTCCCTAAGTTTATCGTTGGATAGCAATTTGGCAATTTGTGTAATACGTAATTACGCCTAGAGTTCGGAGGGGCTTCGAATTAGCGACACTTTGTCTCTCGGTCTGTAGAAAATTAATATCGACTACACGGCGATCAAGTAATCTGAGAATCGCCTTTATTTAGATTTTGGGTTTTTTTGGAGAAGATGAGTTTCCACGACCAGACAAATACTGCCGTAGTTAAACGATAAATTCCAAAAGTTGGCAACACTGTCGGATGCAATTTTCTTTGCGACTGATGCCTGCTTTGAAATTCATTGAGATTAAGGAGGATTTAAAAGCGGTGGGATTACTGTAGATGAGTTTTAATTTTTATTATTAATTTAGACGGTCATTTTGCGGAAGCTAAAATATTTGGTCGCGGAACTGTAACTTCACATTAAGCAGGTGTCCGCAGGTCTAGTTGGATCGCGGAATGGGAGAAGACATCTGTATTTTGCCTTGAATCTCCGGTCCTGAAGTCAATTCGGGCGATCCTATAGTGGCCAGCCATCAGTAATCGTGAAGTTCTGTTGTACATAGACAAGGGACACTTGAATAATCAGTACGCCTGACTGTGTTTCTCAAAGGAAAGCTATAGATACCCGGCAGATTGAAATATTAGTCGTCAACTTCTCTGAATTTTCAAATTGTTGATTATTGAAAATTTATAGATTATGAGCTCTACTCTCCCCAAGTTAATTTTAACAAAGCCTTCCTTCTAGTTAACACGAGTAACTGACTTCCCCAGAGAAACTTAAGAGGAAAAGTGTTTAACTTAAAAATTTTTCATGGTCAGCTGACTCGGAGACTACATCGCAGGCTTTTGGCACAGGACCGGGATACCGTTGTCTGATGGCACCATATAAGCCCTAAATGGTCATTGAAATGTCTCTCACCTCTGTAGACGATGCTCCACGCTTTGCAACATAAATAATGCAACTTTTATTCTGCTTGATTACTTTGTCAGACCATGCTTGATGTCTCACTCAGATCAGGTGTTCTACGACGGAATTCGAGTGGTTTATCCATCACATTTACTAACCAAGCCTGCAGGTGCTTCTTGGTTTGGTTGCAAGGCCCTGGGGCCGTATAACCCATTCATCCTACTCCACACGAACAGGGCTTATGCGTAAACGCAGGTATAGGTGCCTAGTACGACCGTTATCTCCCCGCTTCTACAGCCATAAATCCAAGACTTGTGTAAGTCGTCTTCGACTGAGATGCCGAAAGTGTTCTTCAAAAACTGTGGACTACCAAAGTCTTATTTATTTTCTATAGGCTTCCCTTTTCTGAGATACTCGAAGGTGTAAATTAGTCTTTTTCACCATAAGAAGTTTAGTTTCAACCGGCATTCACCCATGTTTTTAGATATGATACCTTTAAAATGTCCGTTTTTCGGAGAAACTTATCTATATTAAGCCTTTTAACTTCCCCCGCAGTTAATGTCCTTAGGACAAAGCTTTTTAGATTAATCTCGTTAGTCAGTACGAATAGTTCAACTGGAGCTGGAATCGGCATAGCAATCGCGCAATTTTCACAATTCACGATTTTCTAAGGGCAGTCAGTAGGGCATATATATGCATTGGTGTAGGTGATATTTGCCCAAATGCGCAGATCAACTCTCAGACTTGTCCTCATGCATTACATCAAATTCCCAACTTGACATTGAAAAAAGAGGTAATTACAGGATCCACAGAATTCATACGGAGAACGCCGGGGGACCAAATACTGAGCAGGACGACGACGCATACTTGACGGAACAGTTGTCTGGCCTTTTAACTAGCATTTGTGTTAGGAGTATGGCAAAGTAGTCTCTATGCATGTTTACAAGCTTTTCTTCGTCTCCCAATTCTTTCTTTAGGGATCAATAACGAGGCATTGTAATTACCACTCTAATTTCAACGGAGGCTTATGGCATTCATTTGACAACTTCGAACTTGACGCTTGCTCTCGCCAAATCTTTCCGGAACTCTATCCTTGCCATCCCATCTAAATACTTGAAACGAGAGTTAACTCGTCATTGCCGTCCATTTCTGCCTAACGTGGATATTAAAGTTAAAGTTAAACTACGCTGACACCTATGCACTTATGTTTGTCGTCACACACAGATCCAACCGACACTGTTTAGGCATATGGTTCGGGAACGGTCGTCTCAGATTCAGTGAAGAGTAGGTTAAGACTGGTAGTTTTATCTTTGCGAAGACTTATGCCAGTCAAGAGAAGATGAAAGACACAAGCATTCACTCTTCCAACCAGCCGGGAGTTTTCATATCAGAAGAAATGACAAGAGGGTTTGTTTTTTATTGCAAGAGCAGACATTAAAGGGTGTACTGTTCGGGTGCCGGCGGATCTGAAGCCGCAGTTTCAGGTTATAGCAGAATGTGAGCACGCGATTCGACTGGCAGATTGTTGAGCTAAGTTGTCGACGGAACCTACCTAGCTGGAGATGGCAAAGCTGCCGCCACTGAACATACTAATCACCCTCGCCATTGTCAGTGAGCTTAAGCTGAACAGCGGCCCTACGCTATGCAACCATTCGTGTAGATTCTAAACTCGAAATTCCAGGCGAAAAGGAAAATGACCATTTCCATCTCGCCTTCCAGACCTATACTTAAAAACGACTCACATAAAACGGTTTGCCATTGACACACTTGTATGGGTTTTACTAGTCTCAGTTGTAACAGAATAAACGTGAACCTGTGGTTCAGGAGGTAATAGTAAACACGTTGACCGTCTGGAGCATCTTACAAATCATAGGTCTTCTGGGCGTAAAGTTTCAGTAGGGCTGACAGACTGCCCGGTGATGGCAAGTAACCCCGAAATTACCGCCATAGGCTCCCATGTCTATGATACAGTAGGTGGGTTAACTCATGAAATGCCAGCAGAAATTCCGAAATGCGTTTTCGTTTAGAAAAGGGTAATTAAGCAGGCTTGTAAAACTAGTCAGCCTGCAACATAATTCTATAATATTTCAGTGACCTCAGGATGCCAGCTTTTGAATGAATTTCATTTCGGATGCATGCAAAAACTATACTCTGTAAAAATGACTACTTAAGCGGCATGCAACTTATTCATTGATTTTTGATGCTCTTAAAAATTCAATTATAGTTCATGGAAAATATGCATAAAATATCCATTATTTTGCTCATTCAGCAGACAATTACGCCTTCTTTTAATTTCACACTCGAAGGAAGGGTATAATTTGGTTTTATAAAACTTTTCCAATTCCCGAATAATTTTGGACCCGCTCTACCGTTACACTTGGATTCAGGGTTTCAAAAATACAAGCCGTATATTATCCGCATACGGAAAATCACACATTTCTCTACGGTAATAATGGGGGATCATACAGGGTTCATAAAATTAAGCAGTGGATTTGATCCATATTGGTAACTTTACAAGCCACTTTGGTAAATGCAAAGGCATGACGATTTAGGAATGGTCATTTCATGGTATTCAAAAGTCCCACATTTAGGAACTTTTTCATTACCGAATTATGTCCCTCCTTCGAGTGTAAAATTAGAAGAAGACGTAATTATCTACCTAGTGAGCAAACGAATGAATATTTTTATACATGTTTTCCATGAAATATATTTGAAATTTTAGAGGCATTGGAAATCAATGGGAAAAATGCATGCTACCTAAGTAGTCATTATTTACAGAGTGTAGATATTTGCATACGGCCGGAAGGAACTTCATTCGAATGCCGGCACCTTGAGGTCACTGAAATATTATAGGCTGACTAGTTTTACAACCCAACTTAATTAATCTTTTCTAAACGAAAACGCATTTCGGAATTTCTGCTGGCATTTGATGAGGTAGCTCACCTGCTGTAAGTAAAATCTCAACCAACATGAGTGGCTTGATGTAGAGAAAGATTTCTCAGTGATGGTATCTGGTAGGGCTTCTTGGCAGCTTTTTTCGGCGATATGCGACCAGATTGCAGGTTAGTTACAAAGGAAGAGTTCTCTGACGCAACCAGCTCGATATTCTAACAGTTCTGGCTATGAAGTTATCTAAAAACCGCGTCTAGGGAAAGCTATTTCATGTCGTAGTTTCAGATCACATCTTGGGACGGGGACATTTTAATCATGAAAAAACATTAGCTTCCATGCTCCACTAGATTTCATGCCGTACGACTAGCATCATTAAATGACCTAAATCTTGTTGGGAAAAATTTGACGACACAGGTGGGAAGAATAAACATCCCGAGCTTGAGTGTTGTCCTCAACTAGTCCTGCCCTAACCTTAGATATTGACGAACTGAGAATTAACTATTTATCATATTGGTTGTCTAACCTTGTGCCTTTTTAACACGTCTCGATACCTGCCAAATGCGATCGAATCTCCCGTATCTGGTCGAACAATCAGATCAGATCGCTCAACACCACTCTACTCTAATTTAATTTTGTCCTTCGGATGGCAGGGAAATTTTCTGCTGAAATGCCTGTCTGTTCACATGGAAGATTAGGAAGACCTTTGATGTCGGGTACGGATACTGCGTATGCGGTCAAAAATACTTAGATATCTTTTAGTACTCCATCCGTTTGATGCAGGATGGAAACTTACACCAATAGGTATTTGGAAATATTCTCCCTTTTCTTATTTAATTTGCTGTTTTACACAACGTTTATCAATGTAATGGCAAGCGTAGTTGTCTCAAAGACGACTTGGTATGCCTATGGGCGAGCGGGTACAATAAGATCTCGTTCTACCACTTACTTACATGCGGCCACGCTTTCATTCTGTGCCTAACTTTCAGCTTTAGCTCAAGTCTTGACGGTCCGCGACGGAAGAACGCAACTCGAGAGAAGATTACAACACTGAAGACCTGGCTCCAAGACCACGCCACCAATCCCTACCCGACAAAGGGCGAGAAAATCATGCTCGCTATTGTCACGAAAATGACTTTTAATCAGGTCAGTAAATGTGGTCTTCTCTCCAATAGGGGCCTTTCTTTCAGCCTATCAACTTCAACTGACCACGGTAGTCTGAGAGCAGACTGTGGAGGTTTTCCGGAGTGAAAGGTCTCCACAGATTTCAAAAATCTTCGACCCAACAAACTGTTTATAAACATGTCAATGGAAAGGGATGAAAAATCTCTCCCATGTTAGGTGTCCTTTTCAGGTGAAACACAAATCACCAGACTTATGCTGAAACCCACACAGTGGTTCATCCATTTAAAATGTAATTGACCAGGAAAGTAAAAATGTCCATTTCATGCAGAGCAGCACTGCTTTGAGTAAAACATGCCTCTACTTCCACAACAATAAGTACTGAGTATATTAATCGCAAGTCCCAGACTTGAGATCTCACTTAATAAGCGAAGACAAATACAAGGGCCAAAATGCAACTTTCGAGACCTAAAACCCACTGACGTCTGTTCTGTGCAAGTAAGGTTGCCAAATATAAATCTAAATGAGATGTTCCACAAAAACGCTACCCTTGCCGAAGTTCGCCATAGCTGCTCGCTAGATAAACCCATGAAACGGTTAGGGATGCATGAAACGAGTTTATTACAACTATTGTGTCCTGTAAACTGTCTTCTCTGGGCTAGAAAGCGATTGGCAAATTCAGAAAGGAAGTCATAAACCTGGATTCATTTTATTCATCACTCTTTCCTTTAACCGAAATCTTCATGCGTGCATTAAGAAGATGTCTCTTGACTGGTAGGCGTAAAGGGTACCTTTAAATTAATTAACTTGTCCGGACCCACTGGGTTCATCCCCGAGACTATTCTAGTTGTTAACGTAAATTAAGTCTCTAAAAATTGTTCAAATAATATTTTTTCCACTATTTTTCGATGTGCCTCCAGAATTCGCCAAAATTGGCGTGTAGATCTAAATTCAACCTGGAGAACAGGAAGTACGGTCAGGGGACGTATTGCTGTGTAGCTTGCTGTTAGTGAATTTGAAATTGGTTGGTAATATGGAAGCAGTATCAATATAATGCGTCGTTAAGTTTTTCCCCTCTCCCATATGACTACGAAATGCCAATCCTACTTCTGGTGGACTCTACACTAAAATTGTTATTTTCCTCGCAAAGTATTGACACACGGTTTGCTCCCTAATAGTTTATTAGGAAACTAGCTCTGCCATGATAACTAGTATTTAAAGCGATGGATAGTCTTTCCGGTTTAGGAGATTGCTCTCTAAAATTCCTTTAGGAGTTTACCTAGGTCTCAGCATAGTTTGCCATTTGCGGAATCCCCTTCCCATGGCTGACGTTTTATGCCCTGAATGTTAGCTACGACAATTATTATCTCAAGAACATTTTCACAGATAATTTACTTCTTCCTGAATTTATCATCAGTTACTCAAACGGAAAGGCTGCATTCAGATAAGGACACGCGGTAAACTATACAATCAAGAAGTAAAAAGACGGCATTGTTACCTAAAAACTGTTTGGAGAGAATAATCGGAAAAATGCCTAGCTTTCGAGGTATGGAAAAATTGTGGATTAACCTATGCCTGGGGTAATAAAATAGCGTAAGAAGGGATAGTATTGACAGACATGTTTCATATTGTTGAAAATATCAGTCCAATTTACGGCCACCTTTAAAATCATCTCGTTCCTCCGAAAACAACTCGGTCAGTCTTTTTGGTAGTGTTAAAATACCTTCTGCTCAGGTCATCCGTTTGAAGCTCTCTCTAAAGCAACTAGCGTTTGCTAATTTAACTCTACATCTGCCTTATTTTTATAGCGTCACACTTTGCAGCCGCCGCATATTTAAAGAAGCCTTAAACATGAATCATGTAAACACTTTTGTGACAGCTTTTCAGTAACACGATTGAAACACGCGGGTATGCCATGTAACTCTGTATTTCATAAAATCGGAGTCTTCTTTGGAACCTTCTTTGAGCTCATTGTGTGTCCATTCATCTACACTCCGCAAACTGTTATTGAATAAAGACCCAGACACATGGTCAGCCGAATTTCTGTGATCTGAAGAGTCCCCCCAGTGTTCCTTGTGTGATTTTAGGCACGTACTGCAAGTACAAGTGTTAGTGGTTTAATTTAGCAAGGAATTAGCAGTTGACCTTGAAAAATGCCCGAGGGAGGATGGCTTTTCGACTCAGCAGGTATAATTTATCCCCCTGTGAATACTGCACAGTTTTTCCTTTGAGATAAATAGAATTCGACCATAACACCTATAATTTTGCGGTTAAATCTAAAAGCATTATTTAAGGTTGAAGGGTCAACTCGTGACGAAATTGTGACCTAAACTTTAGTGCATATTTCCTACTCCAACATGCTACTTTGTCATATGAATGTTTAAAAAGGTGACTTTTTATAAATGCGTTGAGTCCGAAGAATACCTTGATAACACGATGACATTGGATGGAGGAATAAGTTTCAGTCAATGAAATATATACGGTCGTTTATTGTAAACTTATTATATCGATCTTCCATCTGATGCATTGTGCACATAAAAGTGACTCAAATAAACTTGTTTCAAAGACAAAGTTTAGGAAAACTGCAATAGTGGGCTCCCAAAGGCTCTTAATCGCTAGTCGCATATTTTATTGCTAGTATATATGCTATATCATGAGACGCTAACTGAAATTCTGAAAGTCGTTTTCAGTCCGAAAAGACTACTTAAGCACGGTTGTCATGTTAACCATCATGTCGCACATTGCCATAATATTCCAGTCAAGTCAAGATGCCGGCCTTCGAATAAGCTTCTTATCGACCGTTTTGCGCCACCTTCATCCCGTCAAAAATGACTACTTAACTATCGTGAGTTTTTTCGCATTGATTTTCGATGTCCCTGTAAATTCAAGTATATTTTATAGAAAGCATACGAAACATAATTCCCATTCATTCATATGGTAGCAAACAACGTCTTCTTTAAAGTGTATGTTTAAAGAAGGAGTATCTATAATCTAAAAAACTTTTCTAGTCCCCGAATAATTTTCAATCCGCCCTGCCGTTACACTTGCATCCAGGGTTCCCAAACCACAAGTTCTAAGGAAAACCATACATTTGTACATGCTATTAAGAGGACACATAGGGTACTTAAACTGTTGTAATCGATATGCACCATGTTTTAACTTGATAAGCAGCATTAATAAATGTTCTGATGAGATGCTGCATGCTCGGATACTTCACGGTCGTAAAAAATCTCACATTTAGAAATATAAAAATTTAAAGAGGACGTTGTTTTCCACCAAGTAAGTGAGAGAAGGGATACTTTTTCGCGTGTTTTCTACCAAATATACAGTAGGTGGGCTAACTCATGAAATGTCAACCGAAATTCCGAAAGACGCTTTCGTTTCGAAAAGATTACTTAAGTAGGGTTGTAAAACCAACCATCGCGCAGCATAATTCTATCATTATTCAGGTACTTCAGGGTGCCGACCTTTGAATGAGCTTATTTCCGATGACATGCAAGAACTATTCTCTGTAAAAAATGACTGCTTAAGTAGCATGCATTTTTTCCATTGATTTTCGATGTCCTTAAAAGTCCAATTATATTTTATGGAAGACATGAATAAAAATATTAATTCTTCCACTCATTCGGTGGAAAATTACGTTTTAATCCAATTCTATACTCGAAGGAAGGGTATAATTCGGCTTTCAAAAACTTTTCCTATTCCCGAATAATTTTGAACCCGTTCTGCCATCACACTTGCATTCAGGGTTTCCGAACTATAAGCCATATATTTTCCGCGTACGGAAAACCACACATTTCTCTAGGGTATTAAGGGGGAGACCATATGGGATTCATAAAATTCAGCATTGGATTTGATCCATAGTGTTAACTTTTACAAGCCGATTTGGTAAATGCAGATACAGGACGTTTTATGAACGACCATTTCACGGTTATAAAAAGTCTCATAATTAGAAACATTTTTAAAACCGAATTATATCACTCCTTCGTGTATAGAATTGAAAGAATACGTAATGTTCTTCCGAATGAGCGGAAGAATGAATATTTTCTTAATGCTTTTCATGAAATATAATTGGACATTTAGGGGCATCGAAAATCAAAGACAAAAATTCCTACTACATAAGTAGCTATTTCTTACAAAGCATAGTTTTTGCATGCAGCTAGAAGGAATTTCGCTCGAAAGCCGGCATCCTGAGCTAAGTGAATCATTATAGACTTATACTGCAGGCTGATTAGTTTTACATCCCTACTTAATTGATCTTTTCGAAACGAAAACGCATTTCGAAATTTCAGCTGACATTTCATGATTTAGCCCCCCTAATGTACATGAATTTACAGGAAAATAGAAGATCAATGCGAAAAAACTCACGCTAGTTAAGTAGTCATTTTTGACGATATGTAGTTGGCGCAAAACGGTTGATAAGAAGCTCATTCGAAAGCCGGCATCCTGACGTGTGCGACATGATAGTTAACATGACAACCGTACTTAAGTAGCCTTTTCGGATTGAAAACGACTTTCAGAATTACAATCAACATTTCATGAGATAGCTTATCTACTGTAGTTGAGAGTGCGTTATACGCCATCTCATACAACTGTAACAACCTTTAAGGGTAATTAAATGTTGGCGATAGTAGCTGTGGCCAGTAAAGAGGGTTTCTTGTTTTCCTATTTACTTACGCTTCGTTTTTCGCGTTTGAATTTTTCGTTTCTCTGACTGTTAAATCGGGACGTCAGAGTGACAGTATATTATTGCTAACAGTAACGGTGCCTGTTTAATAGTCTGTCGTTTCTTTGAAAAGACTGGCAGCATTGTCTATCGAAATCGAGGTCGTAGTTCAGAGCAATATAATTTTCGTATTGGCCTTTGAAGGAAAGAAGTCAAACAAGCCCAACAATAAATGACAGAATGAATGACAGAAGGTCCAGGGATAGCTAATTGTCCTTGGTGGGGTTTTCCGTACCACTAAAGGCTTTAAGACCTGTGTGTCCAGAAAGAGCTAGTCGAAACACCACACTAAAATCCGTCCATATATCGAGCATACGGTAGGTGGGCTAATTCATGAAATGTCAACCGAACTTTCCAAATACGTTTTCGTTTCAAAATGATCAATTAAGTAGGGTTGTATAACTAGCCAGCCTGCAACATAATTCTATAATATTTCAGTTACTACAGAATGCCGGCTTTCGAATGAACACCCTTCCGGCTGCATGCACAAACTACACTCTGTAAATAATGACCACATAATTAGCATGCATTTTCTCATTGATTTTCGATGCTCCTACAAGTCCAATTATATTTCATGGGAAACATGCATAAAAATATTCATTCTTTTGCTCATCAGGTAGAAAATTACGTCTTCTTCCAAGTTTATACTTGAAGGAGAGATATAATTCGGTTTAAAAAAGTTTCTAACTGTGGGACTTTTAGACACCATGAAATGGCCGTTCATAAATCGTCATGTCCCTGCATTTACCAATGTGGCTTGAAAAGTTAACAATAAGGGTCAAATCCACTGCTAGATTTTATGAACCCTATATGGACCCCTTTATTACTGTAGAGAAGTGTGTGGTTTTCCGTACGCGGAAAATATACGGCTTGTAGGTTGGAAACCCTGAATCCATGAGCGGGTTCAAAATTATTCGGAAATTGGAAAATATTTTTAAAACCGAATCACACTCTTCCTTGGAGTATAAGATGGCAAGAAAACGAAATTTTCTACCGAACGAACAAGGAGTGAATATTTTTATGCATATTTTGTATGAAATACAATAGGACATTTAGGGGCATCGAAAATCACTGAGAAAAATTCATGCTACATAAGTAGTCATTCTTTACAGAGTGCATTTTTGCATGCAGTCGGAAGGAAGTTCATTCAAACGCCGACATCCTGAAATAACTGAAATATTATAGAATTATTTTGCAGGCTGACTAGTTTTACAACCCTATTTAATTAATCTTTTCGAAACGAAAACGCATTTCGGAATTTCGGTTTACATTACATGAGTTGGCCCACCTACTGCATGTTCATGCAGTTTTCCCAAGACATAACGCATCGAATTCATTGCGCTGTTGCCGTACCACGATTCTTACAGCATTCACTGCGAGCCGTATCAACCGGAACGGTGAACTCGAGTTTCTCACAAATAATTACTCCTGCGTGGGTGGTTTTAGCACCTTCTTGACCCGTTCTTTTTAGATCTCTACGTGGTTTGCAAATGCACGGCGTCGCCTAAAAAAGGAGAAAAAGATGACCTGGACACCCAAGCAACTTTCTTCTTCCGCAATGCGAAGGGCTGTGAAGTTGAAACCGATCAATCCCGATAGCGGCAGCAGCGGTAAAGTGAAGGAAGAGGACGAAGACGAAGAAGAGGAAGGGGACGACTGGATGAATGAGGACCAAAAGACGGTGCAGGCTAGCTGTAGCTCCGATGAATTTTGCTCACCGCACCGTCACCACGGAGTCCGGCATCTCGATATCGCTGAGTGTTCTGATATGACCGAGAATTTTGGGGCTTCCCCGACCGCTTCTTTTCCCTCCACCAGGTCTTCTGACATTATGCATCCTCTGACTTACCCAGGGGTTTCCCCCTGTCTTAGGCATCACGAATACCCCTCCCTTTCCACTTATTCCGACCCCTACCAACACGCTCCATTTGCACCGACCTTCGCCCCCCACTGGTGTAACGATGTGATGTCGCCTGATGGTGCTTTTTTAAACCAGCCACTGACTTCCTCTCTCTGGCCAGCCACTTCCCTCCTTGACTATCGCAACGGGAATTTCAACGCGTATCCGACTTTTGAGGGACAACGACTATCATAACTGTGCTTTACGCTTGGCATAGGCCCTGAGGACCGGGCGGACTGTGTCTTTTCAACGTTTTCAATTCTTGATATTGTGTACTTTGTGTAAATAAAGCATCGACATCATGAAATAGTTGATGTTTATGGGAGGTAGTGCCTTTCGATTCTAAATGAAGAAAAATGAGCAAAAATACCACCGAATTTTCCCTCTGTTAGAAGCTTATGGCACCGATCAAACGCTATATAGTTAAGTTTTTCGGACAAATTGGGGCTTTGATTTGTGGACGCGCCGTCTATTTTGCAAACCAAGTGAGGAATAAGCTCCTACCATTGCTGAACGAAGTACAAGCACTGTTCACTGGCAGCAAAATATTTCATTAGAGAAAAATTTCCGGGATTAAGGTATTCCTTTACATTGTTAGAGATAGTTTAAAATTATGACAGTGGGCGCTCGCCCACTGTCATAATTAATATTCCCGATCACAACCGACAGGACAACGGGCCCGTGGCTCAATGGTAGAGCGTTCAACTCCATGACCAAAGATCCCGGGTTCGAATCTCAAGTGATCCACACTTGGGGTTGGGTATGACTGGCTGATGACGGCTAATAAGCCAGAAATGGCCATTCCGGTCTCCCTTGTCTTTGTCGGTATCATCTCATAGTTTAAAATATTATAAAACTAAGAAACTAATGCTTTTAGGTAATTTTGTTGATTTCGTTCTTTTACATATACTGGTATTCCCAGCATGATTTAGAATTGCAAAGCTGGGGCATGCTTTAAACCTACACTTTTAAATATAAGAAAATGAGCCAGTGGAGTAACAATGGTGTGAAACAGTGAACAGGGCCTTAAGCGACTTCGTAAATGTTAATTTTCGATCCAGAAGTCTACTGGTTACCTACGCCTACTTCTTTCTTCTTGAGATCATTTCGTACCTAGCACCTGTTATTCTCATCCTTCATCAGAGTTTACGTCTATACATAGGTTGCGTGACACACCATATCTGACAGAACAGGTGCTATCTAAAAGCCCAGGCGTGTGCTTCTCTGATATTCTGCCGCCCTATGTCACAGCTGCGAGGGGTTCCTCTAATCAATGCGTTCCCCAGCATTCCCGTGTGCTTCCTGGTAGATATTCCAGTTTTTGAAATTAAACATTTTTACTTTCCTCAGAGATTAATCACTAACTCAGAGTAAATCAGTCTGAATTAAACCTTTTTGACTTAGACCGAAAGTCGGCATGAGTATTTTGAACGAAGTCCACCGCTCACAGCGGAATGACCGCGTAATATTCATGAACTGTCAACAGGCAGTCAGTAGTTTATGCATAGGTTATATAATATACCATACTGATGAGCCAAACTTCTCCCAGCTGTGTCATGCAGTCGCAGAATATCGGTGAAACACGTGTCTGAGTTTTGGGCTGGTATCGGCGTTGTAAAGTATGGTGTATCAAGTAACCTATGCACATAATACTGGCTATCTGTCGACAGTTACTGAAATTTACGCTCTTATCCCACTGCAACTGGTGAATTTCGGCTCGAATATTCATGTCGATTTTCAGCTTGAACCCAGAAAGTTTAATTCCCGTTGATTTACTCCACGCTGGCGATCAATTTTCTGAAAAATTAAAAAGACACAAGTTTGTGTATAATCAGCCATCTACGGTCGTTAATAGGCCGACAGGACTCCGTGAGCGCCTACGGAGATCGTGAGGTGGTCCAAAATCAAGTTTCTGAGGCGAAGATGCACCAACTCCCCACGCTTCTGGTCTGATGAGATCAGTTACACATAAGTTTCATCTCTGTGTAAAACATAAAGCTGTGCTTCGTGTGCATCTCCCATTATATTAGCCGGAAAGTCAACACTTCCCCATCTGTACATACTGTGGATGGTACTTCTGCATTTCGTGGAAGTTACTTTGTACAGTAGGTGGGCTAACTGATGAATTGTCAACCAAAATTTCAAAATGCGTTCTCGTTTCGAAAAGATTAATTAAGTAGGGTTGTAAAACTAATCATCATGCATCAGAGTTACATAATGATCCAGATACCTCAGTGTGTCGGCTTTCGAGCGAACTTATTCCCGGCTGTATGCAAGGACAATACAAAAGATGACTACTTACAGTGCGTGACCTATCTCATGAAATGTTGGATGAAATTCTGAAATGCGTTTTCGATTAGGAAGGATTACTTGGTCGCGGTTGTGAGACTATTATCTTAAGGCATACTTTTATGCCATTTCGGACTCGGCAAGATGTCGCCTTTTAAATGCACTTCTTTCCAATCGCCTGTAGAAAGCTTTCTCGGTAAAAACTGACTACTTATGTAGCATGCATTTTTCCCATTGATTTTCGGTGGTCTTGGAAATTCAAATATATTTTATAGAAACCACAAAAAAATGTGCTTTCTTTTAGTCAATCAATAGAGAATCACGTCTTTATATTTTATACTTAAGGAAGGAGTATAATTAGGTTTTAAAAAAGTTTTCTGATTGCCGAAAAATTTGTAGCCTGATCACTCGTTGCATTAGCGCTTAGTGATTACACTCTACAAGGTGCATGCGTTCCGCGTAAAGAGAATCACATATTTTTCTATGTCATTAAAGAGATATCATACAGGGTCCATAAAATTTTGCAATGGATGCGGACCATGTTGCACATTTCATGAGGAGCAGTGGTAAACGGCTAGGTACGATGCTATGTGAATGGACATTTCGCGGTCTTAAAAAGTCTCATAATTAGAAACTTTTTTAAAACATAATCATACTCCTTCCTTAAGTATAATATATAAAGAAGACGTGATTCTCTATTGATTGACTAAAAGAAAGCACATTTTTGTTTGTGGTTTCTATAAAATATATTTGAATTTCCAAGACCACCGAAAATCAATGGGAAAAATGCATGCTACATAAGTAGTCAGTTTTTACCGAGAAAGCTTTCTACAGGCGATTGGAAAGAAGTGCATTTAAAAGGCGACATCTTGCCGAGTCCGAAATGGTATAAAAGTATGCCTTAAGATAATAGTCCCACAACCGCGACCAAGTAATCCTTCCTAATCGAAAACGCATTTCAGAATTTCATCCAACATTTCATGAGATAGGTCACGCACTGTATGTAGCATGCAATATTCTCATTGATTTTCGATGCCCTTAAAAGTTCAATTATACATCATGGAAAACATGCATAAAACTATTCATTCTTTTCCTTATTCGGTAGGAAATTACGTCTGCTTTCAATTTTATACTCGAATGAAGGGTGTAATTCGGCTTCAAAAAAGTGTCTAATTGTGAGGTTTTTGATGCCGTGAAATGGCCGTTTATAAAACGTCATGTATCTGCATTTACCAATGTGGCTTGTAAAGTTAACAATGTGACTCAAATCCACTGCGTCATTTTATGAACCCTATATAGTCTCCTCTTAATACGGTAGAAAAAAGTAAGATTTTCCGTACGCGGAAATTATACGACCTGTAGTTTGGGAACTCTGATTGCAAGTGTAACGGGAGATCGGGTTCAGAATTATTCGGGAATTCGAAAAGTTTTTAAAGACCGAATTATATCCCTCCTTCGAGTGTAAAATTGGAAGAAGACCTGATTTTCTACCGAATAGGAGAAAGAATGAATAGTTTTATGTTTGTTTTCCATGAAATATAATTGAATTTTCAAGGGCATCGAAAATCAATGAGAAAATTGCATGCTGCATAAGTAGTCATTTATTGCAAAGTATAGTCCTTGCATGCAGTCGAAATAAGTTCATTCGAAAGCCGCCACACTGAGGTATCTGGATCATTATATAATTATGTTGCATAATGATTAGTTTTACAACCTTACTAAATTAATCTTTTCGAAACGAGAACGCATTTCATGAGTTAGCACACCTACTGTACTTGCGAATTTATCCTCATCGAAAGGCGAGCCTCTGTCCAAAAATACAGACAACAGGAGAGCGGAGTAATGTTAGCTCTACCAGTGTTATAGCTCCTTCACTCATGATCCTTCTGGGGTTGGTGGCCCATCTGAAATCCTTTTCGTGCAAACCGAATTAAGTTTCAAAATCCTTCCGAAAGTTCAACATTGGTGGTGGCCGGAGGCAGATCGGAAAACACCTGATGTAGCAAAGTTACCTTTCTTTTTGCGTCCCTAATGACACGCTCTGAAACAGTGGACTAGGATTGGAAGATTAGACGCCCTGCATGAGTGGTGGAGAGGTCGATATTTTATATCACTACGTCTGATTGAAATGGTACTCTTGCCCATGCTAGGCAAAATGATTTAACTTGTGGTTTACGGACAGCACAGAGAAGGACTGAAGAGATCATGTTCGATTTGTAGGTCAGCATAATCCGCTTATATCTCAAAACGAAGGTTGAAGAGAAGTCTGTTGAGTTCAGAAGTTAACATTCATTCATACCAACTCAAAGGTCCACGCGGTGCTGGCTACAATTAGTAATACTGCAAATCCCATGGAACTTTTGTTCACCTGTCTGTCTGATTGTTAAATCGGATGGGGGCCCTCCGTTTTTCCATGGAGATCCAACTTTCAGCGGGCGCAGGTAGTAGACAATGGAATGACGGTTCCCCACCCCGAGCTACTGACATCTGCAGAACACACTCAAACCCGTTACCGGAGAACTCTGAAATTTGGCCCGCGATGCTGTTAACCACAGAACCTCAACCTCGGTCGGTTGAGCCAGGGGTCCAAGTTTCAAAAAGCCATCGTTCAAAAATCGACTTAGAATTCTCAGTCTTTAGGATTTACCGCTTCCCATGCGATTTTCAAAATTGGCACCGATTACATGTTTCGGTAAGATGTGATTTGGTAGCCCCACCTGATAGACATAATACTGTTGGGGTTGGTGCTAAGGGTTGGGGGTTATGGCTAAGGATTATGGTCAGGGGTTAGGGTTAGGGGTAAAGGCTAGGGTTAGAGCTTAGGATAAGGGGTTATAGTTAGAGGCTAGGGTTAGGAGTTAGCGCAACTATTTCTCAACCACTGAAAGTACAACCACGCACTCCCA